AGACAATCTTCTGGGCCACAATAATAATCTCGACCAATCCTGCCGTTTGTTTGGACTTTAACGTGCTCGCTGAAACCGTACCTCCGAAACGAACTAATCCGCACGAGGAGTACCCGCGAAGTAATAAGGAAGAAGCACAAGTAGCCTAACGGAGCAACATCTCGCGATGACACGAGCTATGCAATACGCTCGCGGATCGTTTCAATTCATCGTAATATACTCCTCTCTCCTCCTATGGTCCCCTCCATCATCGAGTAAATTACTCGCGTCGTAGGTGCTTAGAGAGTCGGTGGACGGTTAGGGGAGAGCGTTATGCTTGTCGCAGGAAAATTTCCTCTCGTCTAGAAGTCTCTTGGAACCCGGCCAAATTCGCGAATCCAGCGAAATCGACAGGTATTTCTCTCTAATTCCCGATAAAATCCCTCGAATCGTACAAATTTTCACCGCACAGCGCACTTTCCAACAAATAAAAACAAAATTTCTCGCACCTGATAGCCTAAGCCAAGCTGATTTAAACGACCAGATAAACAAGGAGGGTATCGATAAACCGATAGGCGGGAAGCGTTCGCGTACAGCACGGAAGTAGTGTAAATTCTGCCTCGACCGTGAGTCTCAATTGATCGCCTCTCGAATAATCCGAGGCGGGTGGAACGACAACTGTTTCAACTGGTAAATTCTCCGTTAAAATCCTCACCTTGATCTATTACGCATTCCTAGCGTGTCCTACGTATGTGAACGCTGATGCACGATCCTCCAGCGAGACGTCCATATACGTAGAAACAGCGACGATCTTCCCACCCAGGTTCGTTCTCCGTCCCAAAATTCTCACCCGCCTAACTATATTTCTTGTACAGATTGAAAACGATCGGAAACTCGCGGAATATGCCCATCCTTCGGTGACTGATTCTTCCTATCCTCTCGAGGATATCACCTCGATTGTCTCCGCGACTCTGTAACTCTCTTCACACGTCTCTATACGCTGAGCGGAGGAGAATCGGCAGCTTCGACTCTGCGTACGGATCTGTTCAACCACCGATCGGAGAGACGAGCTTACTCCAACCGACTGCGACAAATTACAAACAACGACTGCGGCTAGAGGAACGACGTGCGTCGCGACGTTAAAACCCGGCTCGAGTGGGGCACAACAGCGTCTACTTGGTCTTGCCTCACGATTGGCCGGTACACTCGAGCTGCAAGGGTGCCCGGGCCAATTGGCTGGCATCTTCCTGGAATTCACAGCAGGCACTTGGAGGAAGAATTAAGGGCCGGCTAACGGAAAACGCGAGACCAGTCACGTAGATCACAAGGCCTCCACGTGATCTTTCGAAATGACCTGGCCCTTTGAAACGGCCTCGTATCCCTCCCCGTGCACGCTAATAGACCGTGGCAGCTTGGATATGTCGAGGCAAGGGATTTCAGAGGTTGCTTTTCTGCCTATCGACGATTTTCTCGAGGTTTATGGCTTTGGGCTTGTTTGAAGAGACGTTTTCGGGGGAGGTTTTGACCTGGGTGGGTAACGAGGTACTTTCGGTTGAAATTCTGAAGTGACGTCGTGTGTAGGTTTTACGAGAATATTGTACAGTTTTGAATGTTGGGAGAAACTCGTCGACGAAGATAGGGGAAATGGCTGGGTCAAAAATGACCCATTAGCGACATTCGCGTGTGATTGGAAAATTCGATTCGTATCGGTACAAATAGAGAATAACTTCGGAAAGTTACGAACGAATATACTTACCAGTATCGAACATTTTTTTGAAAGTTGCCAATGGGTCATTTTTGACCCGGTCGGTAAGTCTAGCGTTAAGCAAATGAGCTTGTTGAACCCTTTCATTTCTACCGCGCCATACAGCGTGGTAAAGTATTTTATTTACGAGAGATTATTTTATTTCCAACTCACTTGGAAAATATTTCCGACAGTGACACAGAGAATGAAGTGAATCCTTCCAGTAGGCAGTTCAAAACGTGAACTGAATTCAACACCTACACCCAGCACGTGATCCCTAGCCGAAGAGTTTTAGGCGTCCTCGTGGGTGAAAGCCACCAAGTACGTCACAGATCCGTAATTATAATAGTGTATCAGAGTACAGTATTCGAGCGAGGAGTCCAAAGTCCACGAGGAATGTGTTTATGAAAATATCGAAATTTCACGTGGCATTGGATCGTATCTACGTCTTTTCTCCCGCTGTGTACTATGTCTCTACGACGTACGGGGACTACTCTTTTCTTCTCCATCGAAACTGTTTCTACCCGTTGAGTAAATTTCAAAGAAGCTTTCCAAGTGCAACATGTGCTCCCTTATGGTGATTCCTAAAGTCGATACTCTAACGAATCTAACTATTCAATCCTGTGCCATTTCTGTTCCATTTCTGTACTATTTCTGTCTAATTATCACAGCGAGAGTGCATCTATACTGTTTCTACATCGTTCACCATAATAAACGCGAAGCTTATGCAACGATTCATTGATCTCTGACGCAACGAGCGGGCAGAAAGCTAGCTCGAACGACGGAAAAAAGGCGTCGGAGCCGGTCTCATACAGCGTTGGATCGTAGACCGCGAAGCATCCGTGCGGCGACGCGTTTTCACGCGAGGCTCGCGTGATAGAGGAGGCGAGACTGTTAGAGAAGCAGACAGCTTGAAAAATCCCGCGAAACACGGTAATTTTATAATTTCCCATCGAGTAATCGCGCTTGGACGTTGGTCCAGACGATGATTAGAGGGTTCCGGCGACACTTGGACGTTCTCTTATCAAACGCCTTTTTCCATCTGTGCCAAGCGTCTCTTATCAGACGGAGACGTAGGCGAGCGAAAAATTCGACGTAATGTGAATGTTCGCCCGGTTCGATTCATGAAACGGTGACAGAGGGGGAATTTTTCGTCGAACTTGGACTTCTCGACGGAAGACGCGAGCTTAGCTGAGTTGCTTTTCATTCGATATGCACGAGTAATTGGATATACATACGCCGGACAGGAAATGTCTGATGGAAGAAATTCTTATCGTCCACGGAATTATTCATTCCTGTAAATCTACTTTGCCCTAATTAGCAATGAAAACGTTGACCAGCCATAATTTTAGAATTACCAATTGATTTTTCGTTGGAACACTGGACATTTTCCCCGCTATAAATCTGCTTTGCGCTAAATTAGCAATGAAAACGTTGACGCTCAAAAGCGCTCAGAAATTTCCGTAGCACGTACAATTTGCCATGTGAAAACTGAAATAAACCTCGCCTATTGCCACTAAAAAATGACAAATCCTCCGAATGAAAACGACGAAATCGTCGGCAACCCATAATTTTATACGAGTTAATCCTTCGTCGCCGCACGCACAATTCGCCGGGACACTCGACCTCCCCAGAAACCTAAAATCAAACCTCGCCTAACGCCATTCAAAAAATGACAAATCCTCCGAATGAAAACGACGAAATTTTCATAGCACGCACAATTCGCCACGAAACACTGAACCTTCCCAAAAGAATCGAGCCTTGACTATCGCCATTAAAAGATTACAAATCTGGCGAATTAAAAACCGCTCATGCCTAAACAACACCGATTCCTAGTCACCTTCTTCGAGTTTCGTAATCGAACGATGTCAAGGAGCTCCTCTGGAGCAAAGATCGCTACAGGAGAAAGAGTTGCCCCGTGGATTCGTGTCGTGTGCCACTCTAGACAAAATACGATTACCTAATTTCACGAGGAACCAGCCGGTCTACGTGTTTCGTCCACTCGAACGCCGGAGATAGTCCATTGAAGACTAAACACGATAAAGCGATAACGTCGATCGTTATACCCGTCTCCTCGACATCTGTTACAAGCTGCTGATTACACACACAGCGTGCATTTCGACGAGAGCATCATTCGGATTACTGTACAGTCATCGGCAATATTTCCGCCGAAATCGGCGAAACTGTTTGCTCTCAATCTTATCTTTCCTTGTTTTTACCGCGGTAATCTGTCATTTTTGTGTCACTTGGAGACTTGCTCGCCAACACTATTACACCCCGCCCATTGTATCTCGAGAAATATTGCCGATTAATCCCGTTTCGAGGAATTTCCAAGCAGGTCCAACACGACGGTTCTCCGTATCCTCGTGAAATTCGTAGCTATCTGCTATCTGTTTATCGCTGGGAACAACATGGATTTTGGATGTTGAACTTTGAGGGACAGGATTTCTCAAGAATTGAACATAGTCGAGTGACCAATTTTTCGACGAGCCTTGCACGATTCACGAGACCTGAGGATTTTGATCTGTGCGTGTACCTCTCTCTGTCATAATTACGCTATCAAGATACACGGCAGTCTCTCGCACAGATATATTATGCTAATGTTCGTGATCTTTTCGTCAGGAATTAACCGCCTTATGCAACAAACAAATAACCGATTTAACAACATTTGATGCGTCATCGGGCATTAATTCAACGTTTCTTATTTCCCCACGCCCGCAGTTTTTTCCATTCTAAGTTCACGCGACCGCTATAAAATCGTCGTTTCGATCGTTAATTCTCGGTCAACAGATTGCGATGCACACTATTTCAGGAACGTTCGTGAACTTAATTATGCACTCTCACCCCGATAAAGCTTGCCTATCAGCGAGAACGATTATCGTCGAGTTTATACACTTTACGTGTATAAAATTGCTATATTTTATCGGAGTCTAGCACGAACGTTTACAGATCGTCATTTTTCCACTGATAACAGGCCTCTCTGTTTACGTCGCTATTCAGGCAAACATACCTTCGTTTTTCCCCGACCTTGCTTGCGTCTCTCCTTTTTCAGCTTCGTCGACATTTTCATTGTCATGACCGTACTTTCGTTTTTTGCGAAGACACTTTGAAACGCGGATCACGTTCGAGATCGTTCAAAGGACACGGTGGCAGGTTGTTCGTGGAATTTCACGGATAATTGCATACCTCGAACGGTGTGATTTAGCTCGATAAAAGGATATTCCGATTGTTTCGGTTCGTTTAATGGAAGTGTAGCTGTTCTTCTTCGGAGAAGGTCACGTCCGGGTTTTCATTTTTTTTTGGCACGTGTCGAGAACGTAGGTTTCGTGGCACGAGTCGGTTCGTCGCGTGTTTAATAATTAATTGCGTCGTTGGTTTCGCTGTTATCGTATCTTAACTTCCAGAGGTTTGTTTTCTTCTTTTTGGCCTTACCTTGGGAGGAAAGAGTCTGGTAGATTAAGAGAAGCTTCCTTTCAGGAAGGATATGGTCTAGATTCTTTTCCAAGTAGCTTTTAGCGGGGCTTGGAGAAATCTTAATTAATTACCAAGTCGTTGGGGGAGTTGATTAAAGTGAAGTTCTTCGAAAAATAATTATTCCGTAACGATACGAGGAAGTGTAACGAAAATATCATAGATTCTCTGTGGTAGATGTTGTTGGATTATGGGAGTTATGGATTGTTAAATAATTAATAATCCTTATTTTAAACTATAAACTTTTATTGGACACAAGGAAGGTCCGCTTTTCTACTTGATGGTAAGAGCACTGTCTACGGACCGAGAATGCTCCTACGCAAAGCCCTAATATCGCCTACCACCCCACTTGGGACCGAAGGGCCTTTTGTCACGTATCATAAACATTTAGGTCTTTACTAAACTCGATTTCTCCGAACGTGTACAAAAGTAATATATACTTCCTAGTAAGGCCTTAGATTCATTTTTGTTACATCTAACTGACTGATAAATCTAACAAATGTTTCGTTTCGCTGTTGAAAATGATCGAAGCGAATTTCTTCGAAAAATGACTTTTCCGTAATTAACACTTTGACTACCACGTTGGTCATGTATGACCGGCCACGGTTTCTCCTGTGACGCCACGGGTGACCGGAGTGCTTGATCTTTTTACAATTGTAAAAATTGAATGAAAATTGACGGTTAGTGCATTTTCAATATAACCGATAAATAGAAGATACCTTGAAATAAAAAGTGCCCCATTGAACAATTAAAAATTCTTATTAGAACATCGATGAAAAAAATATTAGGACAAATCTTGCATCTAACGTTGCAATGTGATAAAACACTTTAAACATAAATGTGGCTCATCGATGCAATCTGGACAGTAGGTGGTCACCTTTTCAGTTCGATTTTTAGCAATTTTTGATCCCAACAGTTGAACATTTTGGTCACCCGTGACCACCAATATGATAAACGCTCCATTGGATAAGAATGTTGTCTTATATCATCAATTTATTATTATTTTGCCATTATATGCTTTCGATAATAAAAATACTCCCGTGGCGTCCTGAGCGAAACATGTGATTTCGGCGTGGCAGTCAAAGTGTTAAAAATTATTTATTTATTTGATTGTTAATCAACGGGTTCAAGAACCCTTGAGGCGTTGAAATTCATACAGAGCAGTAGTATAATGTACAGTAGAAAATAAGGAAGAGAAACAAAACGAAATAAAATAAAATAGAATAAAATGTGAGAACAGAAAAATAACATAATAACACGCAAGGCAAAGAGTAAGTTAAGGATTATTTACAGCGGTTAGAACAGAATGCTTATATTATATAATTAAAAATGATGATAATGATAGAAAATATAATAGACCTGCTATAATAAATACTTGGTTTGGCTGTTGAGAACGATGGAAGTCAGTTTCTTGGAACGATACAATGAAGTGTAATTAAAAACTACAATAGACCCCCTGTAATAAAGATTTGGTTTAGCGATTTTACGGTGATCCCGTAATAAAGCCCCAATTCGAATTTCCCAATGTTCCGTGACCTGGCAGTACATTCAAAACAACACAAAGGCCTCAGTTTATACCGGAACCTTGCCGTATACACACACCCGTCGGTCTATTCTTGAACGTGTTGTCGGCAGAACGATTTTTACAGATATTCTCGCGGAAACGTTTCCATGAATCATGCTGTTAAAGCGGATACAGTGGAAACAAAGTATGTTTGATACTCTTGCAAACATTCAGAAACGTATTACACAGAGAAAAAAAAGAAGGAGAAAGAAATCTATATAAAGTGTTAAATGAACGAAGTTTCTTTTTCTAACCTTGAAAATTGTACTCTTTCTGACTACTTTAATTGCTAAAGAACGTTCCTCGAGATTTGAACGTTTTCTTCGTAAGTTGAAATACTGTTTCTAACTTTTTAATGGAAATTTCTGAAACACGTTTTCCTAGGCAATACTTTATTCTGTCGGAAGACAAAATGATCAATTCCACTTTTTATATCAAAGTACTTAAGTACTTGGTGCTTAACTCTTGGTAGATAAACGAAATTTGATTAATTTAATTTGACGGAGTTAGTCATTTTGGCTTGTAAGTGGCTCGTACACTTCCGGGCGAAAATATTTCAATCACCTGCCAATTTATAGGTTATCTTCATAGATTGAAATTCACGTTGCGGAGATCGACAGCACTTCACCTCATCTCGATCACTTCGAGTGATAAAAAATTAGCTGGCAATGCCTGTCGATTGTCTCTGTATTATCCGACTTCGATGCAATTTTCAGTATGTACATATGTAATTGTATGTATGTACATATGTAAAAAATGTTGTAAACAGTGGCCTTTACAATTACTACGATCATTTTTAGGAGGATTTTTAATGGAAATTTCTAAAACACGTTTTCGTAGATGATACTTTATTCTGTGAGAAGATAAAATGATCAACTCCACTTTTAGTATCAAAGCACATAAGCACTTGCTGCTTAACTCTTGATAAATAAAAGAAATTTAATTTGACGGAGTTGGTCACTTTGGCTTCTGAGGGGCTCGTACACTTCCGGGCGAAAATATTCCAATCACCTGACAATTTATAGGTTATCTTTATAGAATGATAATGTATTCTTGAAATTGCCGACATTTGGCCGTAACGTATAATAGAAAAGACGCACAGAGGGGGAAAAAGGACGCTCGTTAGTCGACCAACTAAGTAACAGAGAAAACTTGATGAAAAAGCGACAATTTTTCCTCCCGAACAGTTCGATTGTTAAAGAACGTTCCGCGAGGTTGAAAAGTTTTCTTCGCAGGTTGAAATACTCCGCCGTGAGAAGTTGCCCGTTGCCTCGGTCACGTATATCTCTCCCCCTCGAATCCGCAGAAACTCGTCTATTCTCGTGTGCAGGATTTTCCTCGGTTCTTGTGTGCTTTTTCGTCCCTATATGTGTCGACGGGTCGACGAACGGCACACGGATACGTCCCCCTGGCTAGCTGCAACCCGCCGTCTCCTCGGTTTACGTTCTCGCGGTCGCGAATCCGCCGGCGCTCTCCTCCACCTGACTCGTTTTGTTCAATCCGAACAGATCCTCCGTAGGCAGAGAGACGAGCCGCCGCAGTCTCTGTGGCAAAATAGATGTAGATAACCAAAGTTGTTGTGTGGAGAGCCGTGTGTTCCGGGGAAACGATCCTCTCTTGCCCGCTTCACAGTGGAAATCGTGTTCATCGGATACGCTGGGAATTGTTTCTAATATTTCCTTCTTTTCTCTTATTTTATAGCGAACCGGAGATGAGCTGTACGCACGGGACACTTTCGAGGGAATCGTTCGGTTTTTGTACGACGATTGCAGATGGGACGATTAACGAGGGAGGTAAGTTACCTTGTGTGATCTCGATGAGATATTGAGGTTAGATAATTGAAAATATAGCGTGTGCTATAATTAGTCTGAAAATAAACGTAGAATTGTATTGTTTTGCTTATTGTGTGTGTGTGATAAGAGATTAGATAATGGAAGATATATTGGATGGTATAATTAGGTGGAGAATAAATGTAGAATTGTAGTGTTTTATTCATCGTGTCTACGATAAGAAATTAGATAATTAAAGATATAGCGTGTGTTATAATTAGTTTGAAAATAAATGCAGAAGTTTAGTTTATTTTATTTAACATGTCTATGGTAAAATGTAAACAGAGATGTTTCTTTGTGTTTTACAGATTTTTCTTGTTATACTGTATGAAGAAGTTGCAAGGGGACTTAAATCATCAGGATGAATGTTTATAAGTGCACCTTGTATAGGGTGTCCCGTAGCGACCGTTCTTATTTAACGGAACGATGTATCTTCGTTCTATTCTATAATATCAATGTAATTTTTCATCTTGTGACATTTTATCTTGTAATTTGTCTACTTTCCATTCTTCGTTTGATTTTTTCTTTGTACTTTTTGCGTTGTAGCTATCACACATTTCTCGGAAGTAACGAAAATTCCAGGAATTCTCGAGGACTTTAGCACCGAACGAGTATATTCGCGCGATTTTCGAAATATTCGCCTAATTTTCGTAGTTTTCTATCGAATTTCGGGATTTTTTCGATGAAAACGCATTCCTGATGGTTTCTCGAATTAATTTATTCAATTTTGACTGTAAAATGCTGTAAAACCATACTGGTATATTGTAACCTTTTGTAATATACATTTTGTACAATAATTTTACAATAAATAATCGACTTTTTATAAATAATTGTATTTCTTCATTTTTCCTGATGTTCAAGTCCTTTCCTTGATTCATGAGGTGGCCTGTAAGTTCCATCTGTAATTCACACAAACTAAACATTAATTGTTCAATAAATTTTCAATTTATAAACAATTTGTAACTAATCGAGTGCATATAATTATTAATTCAATGCGAAATTAATAAACCAAGCTGTTGTATTATAGTAAAGCATGCAACAGTTTTATTTAATGCTTCCAACAGTTATAAACAATTGTCTAAATTATTTGAATTTTATTACATAAAGAAACCTCCACACTGTGAAAAAATGTAGTTTATACACTCTGAACTACAAGTCCAATGTACTAAAAGCATTTATTTTGTATAGAACCTCTTGTACCAGCAAACAACATACATTTTACATTAAAAAAAAGTCAATATCAAGTCCTAATTTAATTTTAACATGGAAGAGGAGCTACTGAACTAATCATAAGCACCAACTTGGCTACATACTTCACTTAGATATAAGACTTAGTGCATCAATATCCATTGACTAACGCCGCAATACTCTTGTGCCTTCACTATTTCATGCTTTTTATCAAGTCTCTTAAATCCCAGGATTCTGCAAACACAATAAAATACATTATAGAGATCGTAGGCTGATAATTTATATAATTTCACTCATATTTAATCAAGACATAATGTAATATAATGACCGATACTTCATATAACTAATGGTGTAAGTTTTACAATGTTCTAACAAACCAATTATTATAAATTGACCACATAAACCCTTTCAGAATACATCTTTTAACTAGAACTTGTACAATTTCTAAAATAAAGTATATACACCAATCTATTTCTCTGTGTCCTTCATTTATGTTGTTTTAAATTAGCAGCTGCTGACCGCTGCTAAATTCATACACCTCAGCCATCTGGACCTCTTAACTAAGTCCATCTGAGTCCAAGAAATCTGCATATAATAAAACATTGTATAATCAATTATTACATCTAGTGAATACTAATTAAAACAAAGGTGTTCGCAGAACTGAATAAAATTATGAAAAAGCGGCAAAGAAGGGGCAAAAAGATATTAGAAAATGAAAGGAAAGATAGAAAGTCAAACTAAAAGTTCATGTGATGTCCTTTTCTTGGCCGACAATAAAAGACTAACAAATGTCACGTAAAAAATCGACATACTTTTAACCTCAATAAAGCTATCACCCGCCAAGAGATTCAATTTTCTGTTTCATAATGTCTGTTGCAATTACAAAATAAAATTGAAATAGTTCTGTCAACTCATATTGTGCGTAATAACAGTAAAATGAATGATTGATTCTTTAAAGTGCGTTAAAAATACTGTTCGTATCATTTCAATACTCTATTCTGTATTCTGGCAATAAGTAAGGCAATGAAAGCAACGGAGATAAACAAGGATAGCAAAAGAAGTGCGAGTTAGACAAGGAACACAATAGCGGTAGACAAGGAAGGCGACACTTCTACGTGTTAGACAAGGAAAGCAATAGAATTAGACAAGGACAGAAAATTTGAAAATTAAAGTGGCGCCATCTCGGGTTTGGACGCGCGAACTAACGGCTTGTTAATAGGATAACAGAATATACACAGAGGTATTAGACAAGGAACGCACTAGTGTGCGACAAGGACAGAGAGAGAACGCTTCCTATTGGCTGGCGGGCAACTAACCTCCACCACCCACGGGCTCCGTCAAGTCGGTCGGGGAAAAATCATTAATAACTCATTAATTACGATGATTCTATGAACTTTTAGAGTTGAAGAATGAAGAGTGGACCTTCAGCAACTTTCACATATACTTTTTAGTTCTCTAACTCCTTTCAGTAATTAATTATTAACAATTATTGTGCGGAATGTCGCAATCGGTACGACTCACACTTACGGTTTTTCATTAATACCATTTTCAGTAAGAATTTCCGGTACATGTTTCTATGTTAATATGAAAGGTAACATCTTTAGCTACATTCTTTTATAACTTTCATTAACATATCCGTTGTAGTTTGAGAGTTATTAATAATTCTTCGGGTGAGTACTAAACTCGTCGCATTCATGTATAACACAATTTCGTTATTTCTATAAATATGCGTGATTAATTGTGCACTTTTATGCATGAAGAATGTAGCACCGACTTTCCTTTATATTCTCCAATAATTTTTGTACACGTGTCTAATACGGTTAATTAAATATTAACGATTGTTCAGAACAGTTCGGCATGTTCGGGTACGATAAGCCGGTAACTCTTCCATATAATATTTAATAACTTCTAAACTACGAAAGCTACGTTAATAAAAGTTATAGAAGAAACTAGCTAAAGAAGTTGCCTTTCAGATGCATCTAGTTATGTGCATAAGAATTTAGCAAAAAGCTATGAAATTATTGAAAAACCGAGAAGTTACTTGACGGTCTGCGGTAACGTTCCCGACGTCCTGTACTAAAATTATTAATAACTAATTATCGAAACAACCTAGCATCTTAAAACTTATATGAGAAAGTTGCTGAAGGTCCATTCTTCATTCTTCAATTCTAAAAGTTCACAGAATCATCGTAATTAATGAGTTATTAACGATTTTTCCCCGACCGACTTTATTGAGCATTTGGGAGGTGGAGCTTAGAGACCCGCCAGCCAATAGGAAACGTTTTCTCTCTGTCCTTCTCGCACACTAGTGCTTTCCTTGTCTAATACCTCTATTTATATTCTGTGTTCCTATTAACAAGTCCGTATTTCGTGTGGCCAAACACAGGATGACGTTTTTCTTGAACTTTCTCAAAGTTTAAAGACTTCTTTATGTAATAAAATGCAAATGGCAATTTATATATGCAATTTAGTGGGAGAAAATAATTTTCTTTTCATCCCTAAAGCTTTCTTGCTATATAAAATTAAAATAACACCTTTGATTTAAGAGCAACTTGTAGTAGGATTTTCGGAAGGAAAGGATTTTCTTTGATATCTGGGAAAAATACACAAAAGTTTATTTATCTTTCGTCGATACATGTTAAATGTTTGATACAGAATAATTTCGAACAAATCAATGCAGAGTTCAAGCTGTTGCTTTCGCTTTCGGGCGTCCGGCTTTCAGCAGCCGTACTCTCCAGTACTGTCTGGAAATAGATCAGTCTTTCAGATAACACAATTTTATTATCAATAATCAGTTGGTTATTCGTAAGATAAATACTCGTGTGTAGTATATACTTTGAACAATTCACATTCAGTATTTAAAACTTTATAATTTATATAAATTTTTATGCACCTTCCACCTTTTTCACTACCTCAAACGTATACTTCAGCTAAACGATTCGACACTGAGCAAGAATATCACCGGAATAGCTGTTTATTCGTAATCGCTGAAAATACTTCGATCGATGTTTTAATTATCACTTTTACTGTATCGTTGTTTTATTCTTTCGATTTACATCAATCAGTACACATACTTTCAAGTATATTTGTTCGACGCGTATCAATATATTTCATACATCACAATCACACTTAAAATACACGTAGTACATCTTGTATTAATTATGTTACCTAAAGCTCAGGCTTATTGAATCGAGCACCATTCAAATCGTAGAAACGTTTCGTAGTTTCTACTACGTCGCGTAATACTTTGATCATTTTTAACAGATCTTCACCGATATATCTATCCATTATATTTACCTCCGTAAGAATATTGAAATATTTTGTAAACTTCCTCAAAGCCTGATGAATTTTATGCCGGTGTTCCTCTTTTTTAACTATATTCTGTAAATAAGATAAATTGTGCAAGTAAATAATATGATAGTATGTGAGAATTTTTTACTTAATTCTTTAATTTTTTATTTTATTTAATTATCAAATAACTCACTTTGTAAGACATGAGATATGGATATAATGGCCAGTTCTCTCGACACGCTATACAATCACATTCGAAATAAAACTGTTTTAAAAGTTTCATTTGTCTAAGGCCTTTTGTTGCAAGTGCATAATATGGACCATATGAACTAAATATCTTTAAAGGAAGAGAAACTTTTTAAAATAACATTAGACTTTTTAGAATAACATAAGGTACAAGAATGTACCATTCATGAGTAATTCAAACATACCTGCTCACCTTCCTTAATAGGGTACAGAGCATGTATAATCATATGCCCAGATTTACAAGTTCTTACAGTATTTGCATTGCAACTATGATTCATCAAAGTTGTAAATGGTGTGATTACACAACCGCGTTGCCGCGATTCTACCACACACTTCAGAAAACTAGTACAGTTAAGTACAAAAATTAGAAACAATTAAGACTATGTAAATGTGATTATCAGTATTTCTATATCTCTTACATCATCCGCGTTTGTAAGAACCACTTGCTGATATCTTAATATAAGACTACATTTGAATTTGTTATTAACTCAGACAAATTCTTCTTTAAAGGAGTTCCAAACATATTAGTACATGTTGCTAAATAATACAAAATAAAGCATGAATCTAGAGATCTTCTAAATAAATCATATACTGAACATTTTTCAGTATTTGTTGCTAGACCTAATATACTTCTGTATTTTTCACTTGGGAAGGTTCCATTCTTAGAAAAACCTTTTGTACGTGGATCTAAAAGAATAACAATTAACATTACTGCTAATTTTCTCATGGAAATATATGTACATATGAATGTATATACCTACTTACCATTGCAATTATCAACTTCTTTTAACTCTTCTCTTAAGTCTGGTATATTTGTGACTTCTTTGACATTTTTAATGGCAAGCCTTAAATTCAATACATCTAATTTACTAAAGTCCATTTTCAGCATATGCGGTACAACTGCACATTTCATATCATGATACTTTTCCCATTCTGAAGTCTTACATTCTTCTGAACAATACATAGCATAAATACAATGGTCACAAGGTATAAGAGCCCAACAAACCTCTAAACAATTTGAACAATGTGTATGCCTATTTTGAAATGTTAATAATGATATATATGGCTTTTCTGTTACAAGTAGTTCAGCAGCATCTATATTACGACTGGTTATATCATGTCTATCATACTTTTCATTATACTTTACTCCTGCAGCATCAGATGCACTACGAAATTCAACATTATAAGTCTTTATTTCAGGAAGTGAGAATTGACTTGACTCTGTGATTGACATTTTGCTAGTTTTATTAGATATTTCCATCTTTGAATATTGAGAAAGGATTTTTTCATTTAATTTTGGCACGATAATTATATCTAATGACATTTCTTTAAACAGACATTCTGTTTCCTTTATAGTATTATTTGTATCAGGATGCTGTAGTGCCACTAAACATTCAAGTTTTCTTACATAAAGCTTAGCAAGTAGTAATTTTAATAACACAACAGATCTGTTGGCATAAGCTAAAGCAAGTTCTATGGATGGATTAGGGGCGTAACTTATGGATTCGGTATACAATTTCAATATTTTAACATATATAGAACTGTCTGTTCTAAGTAACATTTTAATATAGAGCTGATTAGCTATTTCTCTTTCTTTTTCAGACTTTTTCGCATCTTTCATTTCGTCGCATATTTCAGGAATTATATCATATTCTAACATACAATTAAGGGTAAATATTATACGTTCTTCATCTGTCTGTAAAGCTTTATATTTAGTAATTATATCTTTCAACTTGTTCGCAGCACTTAGTTTTGCATTTAACGCATCTAATACTTTTTCCATTTCCTTTTATATCTCACGATATAATGCTGCATTAATAACAAGGAGAATGCACTTATTCTTTACTGATTTTTCCGAATCTACCGACTGTACACAAACGAATTTCACTAATATGGCGTACAATCAATGATGCCAGAACACTTACCCCCACTATGACCTACCGCCGTTTCCCACTATACCGTTCTCGTGCTTTCACACAACTGAAGCGGGAACTCTGTCCGTGTGCGAAGCCTGTTCGGCTCTTTCCGCCAATAATCTACGTCACCACGTGACGCTCGAGCAACCTGAGCGCATGAGTAAGAATCAAGAGATTCCCTTTAAATCTCGGTGAGACGCAGTGTTTCGAGTAGATGGGCGTTCGGGACAAAAATCATAACTTCTAAATTAATCAATTTTTGACCTATGTTCTCTAATACTTTTTTGAAGAGAATTCAAATATGCATTGCACTGGCAAAATCGTAGCGGCCGTTTCATTTCAATGCGCATTTTTTGTAAACAATTGCAATTACTTTTATAAAATTACAGAAGTTTAGGCGCTTTTTAATAATCGGCAGTGAGACAGTGTACAGGATGTTTATTTCTTAAGCGGGTAATCTGAGTCCGAGTTTTTGTACAATGAAGAATTTTTTTTCACACTTATTTTATTTGCTAAAATTTCACATTATTTTATTTTATATTTTATCATTCGTAGTACTTTATTTTATATTTTGTC